ACACTTGTCAACAATATTGAACAACGTTGTTGAGCCTGAATCGGGTGTAACAATATTGTTCAATCGGGTTCAACAATATTGTTGACAGCTATGAACAATGTAGGCAGCAAAACATTGTTTAATCCTGTTTTCATCAGTATTGCATCAACCTGAGCGTTTTTTTCTGTGAAGGCTAAGTAAGTAACATGAACGTAATTATACTTGATGTAATCGGTCACTGAAAGCCACAATGGCGTGTGATCTGAATAATAATGTAATGTAATGTAACAAAGTCTGCGGTCACGTCTGTTTTTTTGCTCTTTTTAAAGCAAAACCTGCATCCGAGTTTTCTTAAAACTATAAACGATTTTCCCATGTTTTTAAAATCTTACCAATTCTGATAAGCCGCGTAAAATTTAACAGCTGAAAGTCGAAATTTAGGGAATTTATATTTTGCGATATATTTTGTACATGATCTCGCTTGAATATCCGCCATTGTATTTTTAATTACCTATGATACCAAATTCTGCGCAAAGGTTCTCCTATGCAGTGGCAAGTGCCTTTTCGTATTACGCGTGTGGAAATTAGGAAATGTTTAAGGTAAAGCATCACGTTTGGCAATATTCATTAGTACGCCATTGATAACAGCTTGCATTGAAAACTAACAAAACAATTGTACAACACTACAACATACATTCTCTAATCGTGAAGCGTATGGCTGAGATTTGGCCGTGAAAGTACGTGTATGTAGTTCAATTTATTATGTAGTTTCATCCAATGTTATTTAAAATAAACCTTTGCTTCTTCTAATTTTACAAAAAAGTACTATCAGTCGTTTCTATATTTTAGAGCGTTGATAACAGGACGAGCAACAATGTATTCAAAATACTATTTGTTGTATTTACTCATGCCATTCACTCTCCTGGAAATTGCGAAAGCCAGATGTGTGAACAATGTGTATAATTTAAGGTTAAAAGGTAGGCGCCAAATTTATAAAAAAAATAGTACCGCAAGACAGTTACGTTGTACTGTCAAAGGATAGCAAAATTGGAAAGTGTAATCCTTACACTATAAATTGTAGGAATTAAACAGAGTTTACACAGTAATTTCAAAAGGGCCATTTTGGCCCCTAAAATGGGGCCAAAATTTTGACCCTGAGACGGCCCCATTTTAATGGGGCCGTTTTGGCCCCATTAAAATAGGGCCATTTTGGCTACTTATTAAAGGGCGATTTTGGCTATTATGTGGGGCCATTTTGGTTCTTTCAAAGGGCTGTTTTCGATCTTATAATTAGAATGATAGCAATTTCAGCTCTCAAAAAAGGGCCAATTTAGCTCTACGTGGGGCTGTTTTGGCTCTTCGAAAAAGGGGCTGTTTTGGCTCTTTCAAAAGGGGCTGTTTTGGCTCTTTCAAAGGGGCCATTTTGGTGGTTTCAAAAGGGGCCGTTTTGGCTCTTTCAAAAGGGGCTATTTCGGCTCTTTAAAAGGGGCTGTTTAGCTATTTCAAAAGGGGGATGTTTTGATTCTGAGGACAGCACCATTTTATCGTTGCTCATTAGACATATTCAAATAATCACACAATGCAAGTTTAAAAAGGTGTATTTACATGAAGTTAAACATTACATTAAAATATTTACAAGATGCTGGGCACTTTGGTGTGACAATACCCACCACTAGTCACTACAAAAAATTATGTGTAAAATATGCATGCACAGCAACACATTTACTGTATATATGAATATCATAATGTCTTATTGTTTTACTTGCCAGTGCTGTCACATAATGGGTTAAACAAGTAAACTGAGGTAAAACCATGAATGTTTTCTGGAATCAGGAATGAGCCAGTAGCATATTAGATCACAAATACTGTACAGTACCGACAACATCACCCTTGCATTTTAGTAAGCATCTACCATGTTCAAAGATTCTTTATCGCATTGTAAACTCCATCCTACATAATGAATAATTACAGATAGATTATTTAATTAATATTTGTTTTCATAGGAAAAATTTGATTCACTATGACTATGGCTCCAACCTTAGACCAAATTATAGCTAGTAACATGCTAACCCAGAAATAGTCGTGTAAGGTTCACTGATATTCCGATAACCGATACTGAAAGACTGATATTTTTCAGATACTGACACCGATATTCCATGTCATTACACAAAATTCAAAGATGACATCAAATTACTGACATTTCAATTTAGTTGGTGCATCACTACCCAGAAATCATGGTCACACAGGAAAATGTTAACCCATGAAGTTGGATTGCACTCCTACTTTATTGTATTCCTGTCTAATGTCAATTGCCAGACATATTTGTGAGTGGGAGTGCTGGTGATTAATGGGTTAATGTGCCTACGTCCCTATTTTATTGTCTTTAATCCATTAAGTACCAGTGTGTTCCCCTTGACAAGTAAAATCGTCTGGCATTAGACAGGGTAAAGTAATAAAGCGGGGTGTATCAAGATGCAATGCAACTCAATCCATGGATTTTGTTCATTCAGCATTGGCTACCAGAAATGTGATAAAAAGCCAATGTGCATGTAATACAAAGAAAGCTAGATTAATTTATGATTTGTCTTATAAATGACCATCAATACATTAGCACTCTCCACTCGAGTCTTGATAGACAGAAGACAATAATTTGGCATCAACCCAGTATTCATATTGGGTCGTTCCAGAAAAGATCCATACTCCCCCCACAGAGGAAATTTCTGCCGTCCGGAAGGGGAGGGGAGAAAAAATTGTTTCTGATAATAGTAAATGTATTAGGACATCCGAAGGGGGTAGGGGGTTAACTTCCTATTTTCTCTGTGGGGGCGGTATGGATGTTTTCTGGAATGACCCATTTGATACTGTGCTTTTGAGTGCAGAATGGAAAGCTTTGACTTCCACTCACAGTGACTCACTCTAATGAGTAATCATCTAAGTCAATATTCTAGGGTAAAATCTACCTATAAGGAATCTCTATAATCATACTCACCATGTAGTAATTTTAAGCAGCTTTCCCTTGTCTGTAAGTTGGCTGTAATAGGTATGCTGGCAACAAAAATACAAGATGTCAGCACTTGTAAAACGAATACTAGTTTTATGATCCCTCCTGCAATATGAACTCTATTTAGAATGTTTACAGTAAAATGAATGATTCTACCTCTATTTGGCTTAGGTGAGACCTCATTACTTGTTGCCGGGATCCCACCTGCCAAGACGTGAAATTCTCATATACAGTAAGCACTCTATCATCCCTGCCAGATGGGATGCATGTATCCCGTCTATTTTGCTTAGCCAGGTTTCTCAGCAAGACTGGATTAAAACCTCCTGTCCAGCCATGCCATTATCACATACATGTAAACAGGCACATACAATATGTAATGGTGGACTTGAATAACTTAGATTCTTGCACTAAACTTGGTGGAATTAATATCAGTTGGTTAGAGCGCTGCACCGGAATCGCAGGGCTGTGGGTTCAATTCCTACCAAGGGACCTTGTACTGCATTTTTCGCAGTCGTTCCTGGTTAGGTCTTAAAATGTATATATTCTCACTTGGATTACAAACCCTAACATCATAAACATACAATATGTAAACTCTACAAGGGTTTGGATTGGAAATCCTTCAAGCTAGCTCAAGCTAGCAAAGTTTTACTGTTTATACTTTTTACCATATTGTGGGCAGCACTAACCCTTTAAGGGGGGGGGCTCTGAAAGTTCTTGATATACTGAAGGGGGGGGGCTCTAAACTTTTCAAACTTTTCAAAGACCCCTTTAATTTGTGAAATGATAACCATTTTTGTAAAATACAGTCAATTTACATGCAATTTGTTGGCGAAATTTGCTTTAGAAAATGCCAGAAATTCAGTTCTAGAGCTTCAAAAATGTAACAATTTTCGGGGGGAGGACCCCCAGACACCTCTTTTCTCCCAAAACTTAGTGTGAGAGTGCCAATCGATCACAATAAGCTTTATTATAATTATTACGCGTATAATCCTCTGACATCCCCCCCCCCCCAAACGTCAGATGCTTTGCTACCAGGGGCGGATCCAGCTCCTGAGCTGACTGATGCATACATAAGACCGCGCATTTGTAGGAGGGTGCGGGGGTATCCTCCCCCGGGGAATTTTGAAATCTAGGACCTCGGAAATGCGATTTCCTGCGTTCTGAGCGAACTCTTTTGTTGCAATTCCTATATCAGAGTACGTCACAAAAATTTTGCTGCATTTTTGGAAAAACACGTAAAAGACTTGAACCTTTAACGCAAAAAAAAATAATTTCTCCACATAAGAAAAAAAAATTTGCTTGTACAAGTGTAAGTCTCTATTAAAAAATAGTCAGTACTGTGCTTCTTGCAGCCTTAACTTTTCTATTGAAAAACATTTCGGCAGAAAATCACGACAACGCAAATACACACATACTGTGTAACAAAGGTGCATACAGTGTGCTCCACTAGTTGCATTGCTGGACTCAGAAGACAGTGTTATTATGTTGTTTATGAACCACCTTCCCCCATTAATTTCCAATGTTCCATGAGTAAAATCTTCTAGCATTAGAATTTAAAGTAAAATAAAATATGGTGCATAAAGGTATTTTGTGCTTCAGTGGTGGATCCAGCAAAGTTTTTTTTGGGGGGGTGCTAACCAATGGCGAAATGAGCGCCGAAGGCGCAAGATTTCTAGGGTGGTCCAGGGCATACTCCCCCGGAAAATTTTTTAATTTGGGGGTCTCTGAAATGGCATTTCCAGCATTCTGAGAAAACATTCTGGAAAATTTTTAGATTCTCAAAACATTTAAAAATTCAGAACATTTAATATTGGCTATTCCGCTATTGTCAGCTAGTGAAACGCAACTGAATTCCTTAACATAAGTTGGTTAGAATTAGGATAAACGTCATTTTTGCACCCCCCCCATGCACACCTGTTGACCAGAACCTGGGGGGGATGTGCACACCCCCCCTCTAAATCCACCACTGTTGTGCTTTACTGTGTAAATATATGCAACTCTGTCTTATGCTACTAATCTTACTCTCATGGACAGTGTGGTTGGCATCAGTTGGTCAATTTCACTTGCCCCTGGCTGCCTTTGATATGAACTGCATGGTGAACAGCCCACACTCTGAATACTGAGAATATTGCCTTGTGGCGAGGAAACCAGTAAACTAGCACACAACAAACACTGGGTTTAAAAATATTTAAATATATAACTAGGTACACACACAACCACATGTTTTAAATCAATAGAGACTGTGTGTAAACTGTAAATTAACTTAATGAAGCTATCTTAGTTGGAAATTGTTTGTTAAATAAACCAATACCAAACTGTACAATGATAAACATGACATAATTTAATCATATGTCTTCTATCTGTCCCCTTTTGCCTGACTTTCAACTAATATTAATACAGTACCTTTAAGAAAGGCTGCACAGTAGTATTGATGAATATTTAATTTTCCCTATGTTATTATATAAATGCACATCTTGTCAAATATATCCATACACTTATCAATGGTAATCGTAATCCTCAGGGTGGCATGCTGGCTATCCAAAACATAATACTGGGATAATTAGCATTACAAATGTATAATTTAATTAAATATATTTTCCAAACTATCCCACTTTTGTGAGCAAATTTCATAATT